ACCGTGCTCACTGATAGAAAGACTCAATATCATGAAAATGACAATTCTCCCAAAGGCAATCTACAAGTTCAATGCAATTCCAATGCAGATACCAATTCCATTCTTCAACAAAATTGAAAAGGCAATTTCCAATTTTATCTGTTATGGAAAGAGACCCTGAATAGGCAAAGCACTCCTGAAGAAGAGAAACAAGGTGGGAGGCATCACACTCTCTAATTTTAAATCCTACTACATTATCATGGTGGTTTATACAGCTTGGTACTGGTACAGTGACAGACACATAGATCAATGGAATAGAACTGAGAATTCAGAAATCAGCTCATCCACATATGGTTAGCTGATTTTTGACATAAAGACAAAATCAGTCAAGTGGGGAAACGAGAAAACCTTTTTCACAAATGGTACTGGCAAAATTAGATAACTGTCGAAAACTCAAGCAAGACCCACACCTCACACCATAAACACAAAACACACAAGGTGGATTAAGGACCTAGGAGTTAAACCAAAGACTATAAACTTCATTAGAGAAAGGCTTGGATGAACTCTAGAGGCCCTAATCCACAACATGAACAGTCACCCAAGCAAAATGAAAAAGCTACAACCAGGAGAGAATAAAATAGATGAGTGGGACCTTCTAAGAATCAAATACCATGCACATCAAAAACTTCACCAACAGGGTAAGAAGGAGTCTCCCAGACTAGGGAAAAATGTTTAGTAATGACATATCTGATAAAGCACCCATATCTAAATTTTACAGAATATTCCAGCACCTCAACAAGAAAAAGGTAACAAGATATAGACACTTCACCAAAGAAAACATTCAGATGATAAACAAACATTTGAAGAAATACTTAAAATCCCTAGCTATCAGAAAGATACAAATAAAAACAATTATGAGATATCATCTCATTCCAGGAATAATAGCAAAGTTCAACAGAGCAGCAAACAACAAATGATGGTGAGGTTGTTGATAGATTGGAACCCTTATCATTGCTGGTGGGAGTGTAAAATGGTTCAATCACTATGGAAGGCACTTTAGCACTTTTTCAAAAAGTTAGAAACAGAAATACCATTTGACCCAGAAATTCCCTTACTGTATAACCTAAAGAAACCAGAACTACCATCCAAGCACATGTATGCACACCTATGTTTATTGCTGTGTTATTCACAATTGCAAAGAGATAGAAACAACCCAAGTGCCCATCAGCAAACAAATGGATAGAAAAACTATGGTATATTCACACAACCGAATACTACATAACACTGAAAAACCATCAATTCATAAAACATTAAACAGCCTGGGTGACCCTGGAGGACATTATGCTGAGTGAAATATCTGTGTCAAAAGGACAAATACTGCATAACACTACTGTTTATGAGCAGAATTGACATCAGGGGTTGGGAAGTGAATAGGAAAAGAGTGGATAGATAATGAACCTTGTATTGGAACAGATGAGGCAGAGAACTGTTTAAAAGGAATACATGATTAGGCATTATACATAAAACAACAGTCCAGAATAAGTGGTACATTGCAAAGAGGACTGGAGGAGGGGGAGAGGAAGTGGGAGGAGGGAGGAGAAAGGAAATTGTACAACAATGAGTGAATTTTTTTAAAATTTTTATTTTATTATTTTTACGTGTACCCTCAAATCAGATCTGACTGGTACAGGAGGAGATTGCTGCCTCCTTCTCCAGCAGAGCCTCTGGTGGATTTGAACCGCATACCTCTGGGATTTTAGTGCAGTGTCTTGCCAGAATTTGTTTGTTTTTTTTTAAAGTGAGCTGGGGGGAAAGAGGGAGCTGGAGGAAAATGTGCAACAATGAATGAATGAAAATCTAACTTTTCTGTAAAATTTTATTAAAATTATAATCAAAAGAAAAAACACCTCACAAGTTTTTTAAAAAAATAGCTACCAACAAGCTGGCTCTAAAATAGAAAGGGAAAGACCAAAAAACCTCATGCTAAAAGAATCTTTTTTAAAGGTAACATTGGGGGACTCACGTTATGCAAATTTATGATTCATTATAAAGCTATAATAAGACAGTGTGGTACTGGTGAAAAAACAGACACATAATCAATGGAAAAGAAAAGTTCAGAATCAGAACCATACAAATATGGACAATTTCTGACAAAGGTATAAATGCTTTCTTTAAAAAGAAGTAGATTTTTCCCTATAAGTATAGTACAAAACTACCTAGGCACATACCTCATAATTTTGTAAAATCAATGACTTATTCATTGCAAATACATTTTATAAGAGACACAAACGCAGGTTATACACATGGACTTCACCTGATGGTATGCATA